AAGAAGTAGGAATTTAATGGTGATGTGGTGTCTTTGTTGATGGTGTCACTGTTGTTTGGTTGCCAGGGGCGATGTTGTGGTGGCTCTGAATCCATGGAGACCAGACGAACTCATTTGCAAGAGAATCACGGCAGTTGTAAGTAAAGGTGTTCTGATCCCAGAAGAAAGCGTCCTGATTAGTGAGATGTCCTGATCTCAGAAGAAAGCGTCCTGATTAGTGAGGTGTCCTGATCTCAGAAGAAAGCGTCCTGATTAGTGAGGATAGCTCCTGATTGTGAGGTGTCCTCATCTAGACGAAAGCGTCCTGATTAGTGAGGTGTCCTGATCTCAGAAGAAAGCGTCCTGATTAGTGAGGTGTCCTGATCTCAGAAGAAAAACTTCAGTTGTACATAACACACACACACAGTATAATTATTACACTTTTGGAAGGGAAAAGTGGAGTATGATAATAATTATTTCAGGAAGGAGAGAAGATTCCAGCAGGTTGCAGAGACCTGCACAAAACCTCTGTCATTCCTCGCGGCCACGTGTGGTTGGAGGGAGACAACAGACTCTCTTCTTACGACTCCAGAGACCACGGGAGCTATCCCTCTTCCCTTGGTACAGGGGAGAGTCTGGTACAAGGTAACTGGGCGAGTGTGGCACCAGTGGGACGGAATAAGTGTCCATATTATTGAGGTGTCCTTTTGCATGCAAGAACTGTTCTTGGGGAAAGAAAGGTGTCCATATTAGAGAGGTGTCCTCATTTCAGGAGTCGATTTCTATAGTGCATTACTAAAGTGTAAAGTATAATCTCTAAGTTATATAGAAGTTAGAGATAAGTAATAGCTATAGTGTAACCATTACACAATGAATAATCTTTTAGTGGATGACGTTTCTTTCATTTCCAGGTTTATCCGTTTTCAGAGAAAGGGCCGATAAAATGACAGAAAAATCTCTCATACATCAAATAATATGCAGTGTCTTTTGATGCTTGATGATGTTGAAAGCAGTCAACGGAGACGAAATTATCCGTGCTAACATTTCTTCCGTGATCTTCCTGCAAAATTTTGAGACATCAAATTTTTTAAACTAACATTTTACATGGAACATAATTATGTATTATACCTGAGTGAAAAAGTGGGAGCTGAAGTGTTGAAAAGTAGAATGAAGATAAATTTCTCTTTCAGAAGACCGTAGGCCTTGAATTGCTAAATTTTAGTGATGATGTCATAATTAGTAAAAGTGACATCATGTTTAATCACATGACTCACGCGTGGTGCATGTGTAAGTCTGACGGATTTGATGTGGAATTGTGTCCCTAACTGCAGTTGATTTCTCATCTGAACAGAAACGGGAAAAACGGGTTTTTCTGAACAATAATTATAACTTGCACACAAGGAAATTGACTCAGAGGTGTCACTAATGTATTAGTATGGGGCAGAACCAAGTGTCCTTTATATATTATAGAGAGGTGTCCTTTATTCAGAGGTGCAGCCATACCTTTGTCGGTGAGAGAGGCAGATGGAGATGGAAGAAATTGGTTCACAACCGTCTTGTAAAACCTGGTGAAATACTCACGCTTCTTTGCAGCCGTGACGTTTCCACGGAAACCTTTGAAACAAAAAACAAGACGGGGTATATAGTGATAAAGTGGAGATGATACCAGCACTGAGAGTGGAAGGTGTCTCGGTTCCAGGAGAAGGACTGAACGTCGACAGACACCGTCCCGATTCCATGTTGATCAGACATGCCCCCAGGACCGAGGGGTCAAAGGTGAGTGATCCGGGGAAGCAGCGAGGGTACGATCGAACACAAGCTGTGGCGAGAGGAGAAGAGGGAGAGAAACGAGAGAGGAACAAGTGAAATATAATTATACTGTCGATGGGCTTCACACAAAAAACATGGCGTGTTTGTTTGTTTCGGGGTGTGTGTGTGAAAATGAGGACGACCTCTCTAACAAAGACACCTTTTCTTTCCCAAAGAACAGTTCTTGCAACCCCTGAAATAAGGACACCTCACTAATATGGACACTTCCTTCTGTCCCATTGGTGTCTGGATTAGCCCAGTTCCACTGTAGTTGTCACGGCAGCAACAGTGCATAAGAACAGTTCTTGCATGCAATTCAACCCCTGAAATAAGGACACCTCACTAATATGGACACTTTCTTCTCTCCCATTGGTGTCTGGATTAGAGGAGTTCCACTGCAAGTGAAGATTAACACACTACCTTTGAGAGAATCGGAGACCCCGCTCCAATAGTTCTCAATGGTCATCTCAATATCCACCAGTGACGGCCCAGAGTCACAGAGAATGCAGAGCTCCACGCCTTCCTTCACCGCAAACACCAGCAACCTTGTGGCAGAGATGACCATGAAAATACACACAAGACACGTCTCCAGCAACCTGTGAGGGATCTTGTTGCTGGCGACGGGGAGATAGACCGGGATGTCTTTCGCCGTGAAGAGAGGGAGAGGAGGAGAGGAAGAGAGAGAGAAGGCTCTTTTCAATGGTCGCCAGCTCCCACCTGCAAGAGAAGGAGAGAGGTAGAGGGGAGTGCAATGAAAGAAAGAAGAGAGAGAGAGAGAGAGTAGAGGGGAGTGCAGTGAAAGAAAGAGAGAGATAGAGAGTAGAGGCAGATTGCAGTGAAAGAAAGAAGAGAGAGAGAGAGAGAGGTAGAGGGGAGTGCAGTGAAAGAAAGAAGAAGAGAGAGAGAGGTAGAGGGGAGTGCAGTGAAAGAAAGAAGAGAGAGAGAGAGAGAGGTAGAGGGGAGCGCAGTGAAAGAAAGAAGAGAAAGAGAGAGGGAACGAAAAATAAGCATGATGGGGAAAGGAGGTGTGGCTTTAGCATGATTAGGTAAATACTTCCCCATTAAAGTGGATATGCTTAGATGAACGCTTGAAACAAGTAATAGCCTAGCGCACAAGGCAGGAACACAAAATTAAATCAAAGGCGATCATAATTTTTTACCAGCTTTGGGTTGCGACACAGATGTGATGGTGTATCAGAAGACAGCCGTAACTGCTCTGAGCCGACTCAGTGAATGCATCAAGTGTTAGCTGCAAAAACGATCAAAAATACCCCTGAAATACACTTGTTCTGGCCACCCTATTTTCAACAGTCACTCCTGAAGATTATTCCACTGCACACTTCAGCTATAGTCAAGCTATTCAGGATGATTAGTTGGCCTGTCCTTCCCCCCACTTGCTTGCTAAAAGTACAAACAATTTAGGCCACCCTATTCTTTCACTGCACTCTCCAGCTATAGTCAAGCTATTCAGGATGATTAGTTGGCCTGTCCTTCCCTCCACTTGCTTGCTAAAAGTACAAACAATTTAGGCCACCCTATTCTTTCACTGCACACTCCAGCTATAGTAAAGGTATTCAGGATGGTTGGTTGGCCTGTCCTTACCTCCACTTGCTTTGCTAAAAGTACGAAAGGTTACTTCTCCTATTCACCATAGTATTAACAGGTCTCATGTACAGTACAGTAGCACCTTTTCTTTTTCTGCTCATTTTTCAAAATGTTAACCAACTGAACGTAGGTACACATAATTCACCTGCAGTAAGTTGGTATCTTCGCAGGCAATGACGTCGACACATCTCGTGACAGGAGAAAGGAGATCCGTCTGCTCCATAATATGGTCCACCAGTGGATAGCACCACTAGCAGTCAAAGAGACAGTATTATATACCACTAGTGTATATACCATAAACCAGAGTATTCATGTTACTATAATAATATAATTATATAAGAAACTGGAGGCCCAAAAAATTTAACCTACACGAATGCTAGTAACAGTATATACAAAGCTTGTTTTGCGGTAAAAATAGAATATGAAAAACGAAAGAAAAATTTTATATACTGACTTTGAGGTTTTGCTTGAGTCGTTCCATGTTGGTGGGCGTGTCCAGGTCCTGTAGACCTATTACCATCACCATGGCATTGAACACCAGCTCCAGGAGGTAGGTCATGTGATCGTCACATGACCCGTCGTCAGTGGCAACCAGGATCAGAGTGATACTGCAGGAAAACACATAATCTACTCTATAATCTACCAAATGTTTTAGAAAATGTCTGTAATCTATCTGTAATCTATGGACGGTACTAGTAAACTCTCAGTATATCGTTAGTAAACGAACTTGTTGCAGAAGGTCTTCCATACGGTCTTGACTCCGCCACTGGTGCAGCTACGGAGCTGCGCCTCGAGAGAAGACGAGAAAAAGTGCGCTCCGTTGAGCGAGGCCAGCTTCGGGTACGCCAGCTGCTCAGAAAACGACTAAATCACACGGAGAAGTGCTAGTTATACTTTTGCTCACCGGTGGAAGGTCCCCTTTTGTACGGGTGAATAGAGGGACGCCCGATCCTGCCGCTATAGCTGCAAGATACGCCATTCGAGAAAAAGTTGAGAGAAGAGGGAAATGTGTGAGAGAGATCCTCCCACACTTGCGCGCGCCGCCGTGGAACCACCCACGTGCGACCTTTAACCTCTTACGACTGCGCTTTCTCTGGATTTGTTCCCTGACGATCGACTGTCGTGATGGTGTTGCTAGGCTGGTTGCTGCAAAGGATTCCTCGCGGGGCGAGTCAGGGACTCTACGCCGGAAAGACCATAATGCACGGTCACAAAATCACCTTCTCCAACAAAAAGTAAGCCGATCCAACAAAATTTTCCAGTCTCCCTTCATTTTTTTACACGTCTATCGTCATTTTTTTGCCAAATTCCAGGACTAAGCGCATGTGGCACCCGAACGTTTCAGAAAAAGACGTACTACAGTCAGATTCTTGGAGTTCATCTGAAACTCCGCATGACTACAGCTGCCATGAGGTGGATCGACAAGGCTGGAGGATTCGATAGCTATATTTATCACACTTCAGACAAGAAACTAGGGTCAGAGGTCGGCGTAGACCTGAAGAAACGGATGGTAGCCATTGTGAAGAATCACCCCGACAACGTGGCCCCGCCCCCTCACGTGAGACGCATCCAGAGACGGCGTCGTCAAGAGCAACAGACAGATGAAACACCCAGTGAATCATTGTCATCATCATCGCCATTATAGCATTGGAATCAGTACTATTCTATTATCAACCGAATGTGATGAACAAATTTAATAGGCAAAGCAACATTCCCCGTGTTCATAATAAGTATGCGTGCTTGTCAAACACTATCTTCAATGAGAATTGATAAGTTTAATGAGGTTTTCAATATAGCAGAACTGATAAATAATCATCCTAGATATTGATATTTAGATGTCTGAGATATCTCCGTAGGTTTCATGGAAATTGGCAGTTTCTTTGGCAGCGGTTTGGGTTTCCTCTTGTCGAGTGGAGGAGGTTGGATTGTCGGGTGACGAGAGACCAGATCTTCCATCCTTCTCTTTAGCGTCAGAGCCAAATCTGACCTAATGGAGAGAGGCAGAGTGAGGAGAAATGACTTACTTTAGACACAGATGTTGACAGGTTAACAGAACACCTCTGAATATGGGACACATTGGGGACATTGAAAGTGTCTTTTATTCAGAGGTGTCCCTTATTCGAAGGTATACAATAATGTATAACAGTAATGAAAAGGACCCTCTTAATAAGGGCCAAACTTTCTATAAAGGACACTTTGGTTCTGCCCCATACTATACCTCCGAATAAAGGACACTTCTTTCAATGCTCAACCAGGCGTTCTATATTCAGAGGTTTCAGCGTGCAGAATGTCACCCAATAACTATCCCTACCTGAGCTCTTCATCATGGGTGTAATAAATGTAGCGATCGAACCCCCCAGCACCTCGTATCGACCTCTGAACTCCAGTGGTCACCCTCAGTCGTAGTTTAGTTCCAAGAAGAACACTGTTGTAGATCATCTTCCACCCTGGAGCCAGCGGTCGCGGGCCCGATACTCTGGTGTTTATATACAGCAGTAGTGATCATAGAGGAGATGGGAGAGAGAATCATGGGGCGAGAAGTGAGAAAGAAAAGCCGCAAAGAAGAATAAAAATACACTAAAAAGAGAAAAATGGGAGGCAATAAAGTAAAAAAACAAGAAGAGAATCAAGAGAAGCAAGAGGATAGAAGTAAAAGGGCAGACAAAGATGAGGGAAGGAGGGATAAAGAAAAAAGACTAAAAATATGTCTATCTAACTTGCTGTTGAGGATGGTGCGGGGCACGATGTCACGGACTGCTGCGGGTCCTCGCACCAGGCCGGCAGCAGCTAGAGGGTTGGGAAGGTACGTCGGCTTCTTCACGTAGCCGAGAAGACGAACGCTCAGTACCACCATATTTCTAAAGTACTGCGCATGCGCCACAACCCAAGAGGAAAAAATTGGGCGTAAGCTTATCCGCAAAAAGGGGCGGCGGCGCAGCACAATCGCCAGTAGCTGAAAAGAATCGAGCTATCGAAAGTCGACTCCTTGACGTGGCGGTAGTCAGGCTGTTCTACTACTGTTTTACCAGCTTTAGTCGATCGAACCTATTTGTCTGTTACTTAAGTGTAAACGGCTCGCAAAAATTTTCAAAGGGGCGTGTCTGCAGAAAAAGGGGCGTTTCGCGATCTCGACACACACACGGGGACGTCAGTTTTCGAGCAGTTTCCACATCAGTCTAGCTGAAGATGGCTCAACTCCAGCGAGTTTCCACCGGTGTCCAGTTTCGCGGAGCGCCTCAACTGCGCCCGTTTCTCCTGCCGGACGTGAGACGGACGGGCAAGCCGCTGGGCGGCGGGTCGTACGGAGCCGTTGAGGAACTGCAAATGGCGGGCCTCGTTTGCGCAGGGAAGACGATGTACGACGCTCTAATAGACCCCAGGAACCAAGGGACCCAGAACATGGTCGAAAAGTACTACAAAGAATGCAGTTTGCTCTCGGAACTTCGTCATCCGCACATCGTCCAGTTCCTGGGTATCTGCTTCTTCCCCGATCCCGACTCCCCGTTCTGGTGATGGAGCGACTCCACACGAGCCTCGACGACATGCTGGAGCAATATCCCGACATCCCTCTTCACGTGAAGCTGTCGATTCTCCACGACGTGACGAAGGGGCTGGTTTTTCTGCACACTCGGAATCCGGTTATCGTTCACCGCGACTTGACGGCTCGCAACGTTCTCCTTGACGCGGCCATGACGGCTAAAATCGCCGACCTGGGCAATTCCAGGATTACCAATCTTCGTCCGGGGCAGCTAGCCGGGACCATGACGATGGGGATACCGGGAACTCTGGTCTACATGCCTCCCGAGGCCTCCACAGATCACTACGGTCCGCCACTAGACATGTTCTCATTCGGTCACCTCTGCCTTTTTACCGCCACTCAGGTTTGTGTCTACATTTTACACACCTATATTTTAGGGTGTGTGAACTTCTACATTTTTAGGGTGTGTGACTTTACAAGAATTCATAACACCTGACCCCTTGCGTGAATATAGCTACATTATAATCATAGTTATAGAGCACGTGAATTTTGTTACTACTAGTAAAAGAAGGGTGTTTTTGCTATTTTAAAGGTATTCCCAGGAGATCTACTCCCTTCAACTTACACCGACCCTCGTAAGAACAAGGTGAAGGCTCGCACAGAGCTGGAACGCAGAGAGAGCTACATGTCACCACTGGAGGCGACTCTGGGGAAGACACATGGTCTGGTGTCCCTCGTCAAGGGGTGTCTGGAGAATGATCCAAGAAGACGACCGACTGCCAGTCAGGCACTGGACCGAATGAGAGATATGATGGCTGGCCTCAGACCTCCTTTCCTCCATATGAACAGGTAAAGAGTAACTTTCTTCACTGCAAGTGTGTTCTATACATTGTTGACATCACAATGGAAAGTAAAAGCGGTGTGATGCTTTCTGCATGCACACTGATTGCCATGGTGCAACGCTACTAAAGAAGGCCTGGGAACCACACTACCAATACTAGATGGGTGGGTGTGTGCCTTGTGACAAGGTAATAATCTCAATGTCTTTGAATGCTGTTATTGATAGGTTCCAGTTGGAAAAGACTCTGACAGACAAGTCAGCTGAAGCCGATACACAGGCAAGAGAGATAGCTGACAATAGGAGGAGACTACAACATCTGAACCAGGGAATTGAAGAACTAAGGGTAAGATTAAAGAAGGGATCGTTTCAGCCTAGTGATTGAGAGTTGTGTTGTTACAGTCAAAGAAGGCAGAGCTGGAGACAGAGGCAGAGGTAGCAGCCAGGGAGAAAGCTGGACTACAAGCAGTGACTGATTTGCAGGCCAGAGAGATAGCTGACAATAGGAAGAGACTACAAGATATAAACCAGGCAATCGAAGAACTAAGGGTGAGATTAAAAAAGGGATCATTTCAGCCTACTGATTGAGAGTTGTGTTGTTACAGTCAAAGAAGGCAGAGCTGGAGACAGAGGTAGAGGTAGCAGCCAGGGAGAAAGCTGAACTTCAAGCAGTGACGGAGTTACAAGCAGTGGAAATTGTAGACCTAAGTAAACAGTCGGGGAAACCAAAGGTATGTGTGTTTTGAGTCGTATCTGTTCCTGCTATATTGTTGTTTCGGGAGAAAGCTGTGTAAACTCATTGGAATGTGTGCGTCCTTGTTAGAATTAGCTGTTCATGACTGATTTGCGACGCATGAGCTTACCATGAGTAAACTAAAACTACTGCAACTCTCTTGTAACAACACTCGACCAGAATCCAGATGTTATTCGACTGACTCACAAACACGCATGCGTAGTATTAATATGAATAATGTATGACACTAAATAAGGCATGTTCCAGCTTTTGTTTGATGGGCAAGCCGTTCATTTTTTCCCGTGCACATTAGGTTATGTGCAGTTTGCCGTCAATTATAAGTATAGCTACCCACATTCAGATGACTAGGTATAGGCTCACTTCATTGTTCTTTGCTACTTATCTCATTGGTCAGGCCTCAAAGTTTCCAGATATTTTGAAGTGCCAACTTCCTCTCAAGTGGAAAACCACCACTGAAATGCTGATGGGGGCAGTGGGTGCACAGGCAGTGGTGATAGGAGAGATGGTCTACATTGGAGGAGGTATGATGGCTGTGAAGAAGGTGAGAGGGAGTGGGGAGGGAGTGGTGGGTGGAAGTACAGACAGAGAGGAGGAATGTTCAATACTGGAGTACAGTATGACAGGAGAAGGTCCTCAATGGAGGACAATAGTAGCTCCAACTGGTGGGTTTGCCATGGCAGCAGTTGATAACCACTGATCGTAGCTGGTGGAGCAGATCCAGACACGAATCTTATCTGACAAAGTGTCAGTCCTGGATAGTAGTGACAACAAGACATGGACACAGCCATTTCCTGCAATGTCATACAGCTAGGTTTATCACCATCGGCAATAGGCTACAAGAGGTGGCTGGTTGTGGTTGGGGGATCAGCAACACTAGATGATAAATATCTTCTCAATGTCGTGGAAGTGCTGGACACCAGCTCCAAACAGTGGTACACGGCATCACCACTACCGAGTCCTACACCTCGACCATCACTTGCCATCATTCAAGACACACTCTACACTTCGTATGTCTCTGTTGAAGATATCTCATTTACAAAGCAAATCTTCATTCCTACTCTGATATCAAATGCCATATCTTGTGCCCAGGCGTCACCCAATAAGTTGAGCCCAACTGAATGGCAGGAACTGCCCGACACGCTTACCATATTTCCAGCTCTTGTATCATTCCATGGTCATCTCCTTGCTGTGGGGGGTGCCACGCGTCCATCATCCACCATAGCCATGTACCTCCCACACATCCAACAGTGGCAGAAAGTGGCAGAGCTCCCAACACCACGTTGTCGCTGTGCATGCTGTTGTCTACCAGCCACCAAACAACTACTGGTGTTCGGAGGGATGGATGAAAATCAGGACCCTATCTTTACCATGGACACCTGCGAACTAGACATAGAGCACAACTAACTATACATTTTGGTAATGATGGTTGTTGCATAATTATTATTTGCTGCAGATATTAATAAGAAAATTGTTTTATTATGTCATTGTACTACAACCAAAGGCAAGCAAAGCGAGCCAACCTGTCATCTGAATGCGGATTTAATTAATTGTGACATTGTGACAGGCAGTGGACATACGTTCATACGTGATTCTAAAATATTATGGTACGAAAAAACTTATTTGCCCAATGCGTGGCATTCATACTACGTAGTATAATATTTAGTCTAAAGGAATATCATCAGAGGAGAGGATGTCTTGTTGTGTACTGTCCAGTGGGAGAACTCTTATCACTCCTTGTCTGAGGGGAAAGGATGGAGATGGAGGACAAAATTACCAGTAAACTTGTGCTTATAGCCAAGAAAATCCACAAAACTTAAACAAATCTATTATCACTCGAACTACTATATACCTGAGAGCATCACAAATTCTGTCAGCGAGCAGTGTGGCAGTCAAAATGTTCACAAAATTTGTGATTATAGCTATACTCCACAAATATTGCAAAACTCTAGACTTACTCATTCAATCGTCTCATCATTTCCACTAGTTTAGCTGCCTCTCTTTCCTTCTCTTCTTCCGTCATGGCTTCTCTCTCTCCCTCTCTCTCCCCTCTCTCCATACTTGGTCCTCACGTCACTGGGTCTATACTGTGTGGTATAGTGATGATGTCATCATTACATCATCACAGATCACATGACCAAAAATTAGTACTGTACTAATGTTATTTGTCAGAAAACTGTATAAGTGTGTTTTATTCACTCGAGGATTACTGTGGAATAGGGATGATGTCATCATTACATCATTCAGATAATCACCACACCAACAACATCTTTTATTCGAGGACTAGATAAACACGTAGTACTTTGATGGATCACATGATGATTGATGACATCAGAAAGATTGAGTAAAAATACGATCGCTCGCTAAAATTTTTTGTAGAGGGGGCGGGTCTGCAGAAAAAGGAGCGTTCCGCGATCGCGATCTCGACACACCAAAGCGCACGTCAGTTTTTCGAGCAGTTTCCACATCAGCTAGCTGAAGATGGCTCAACGCCAGCGAGTTTCCACCGATGCCCAGTTTCGCGGAGCGCCTCAACTGCGCCCGTTCCTTCTGCGCGACGTGAGACGGACGGGCAAGACGCTGGGCGGCGGGTCGTACGGAGCCGTTGAGGAACTGGAAATGGCGGGCCTCGTTTGCGCCGGGAAGACGATGTACGACGCTCTAATCGACCCCAGGAACCAAGGGACCCAGAACATGGTAGAAAAGTACTACAAAGAATGCAGTTTGCTCTCGGAACTTCGTCATCCGCACATCGTCCAGTTCTTGGGTATCTGCTTCTTCCCCGAATCCGACTCCCCGTTCTGGTAATGGAGCGACTCCACACGAGCCTCGACGACATGTTGGAGCAATATCCTGACAATCCCTCTTCACGTGAAGCTTCGATTCTCCACGACGTGCGAGGGGCTGGTTTTCCTGCACACTCGGAATCGGTTATCGTTCACGCGGACTTGACGGCTCGCAACGTTCTCCTTGACGCGGCCATGACGGCTAAAATCGCCGACCTGGGCAATTCCAGGATTACCTATCTTCGTCCAGGGCAGCTAGCCGGGACCATGACGATGGGGATACCGGGAACCCTGGTCTACATGCCTCCCGAGGCCTCCACAGATCACTACGGTCCGCCACTAGACATGTTCTCATTCGGTCACCTCTGCCTTTTTACCGCCACTCAGGTTGGTGAACATCTACGTTTTAGGGTGTGTGACTTACAAGAATTCATAAGAATAACAAACACCTAACTCCTTGCATGAATATAGCTAGCTATAAAATCATAGCTCCATACTTAGCACAATACTGCTAGTAAAAGAAGGGCGATTTTGCTATTTTAAAGGTATTCCCAGGAGATCTACTCCCTTCAACATACACCGACCCTCGTAAGAACAAGGTGAAGGCTCGCACAGAGCTGGAACGCAGGGAGAGTTACATGTCACCACTGGAGGCGACTCTGGGGAAGACACATGGTCTGGTGTCCCTCGTCAAGAGGTGTCTGGAGAATGATCCAAGAAGACGCCCGACTACCAGTCAGGCATTGGACCGAATGAGAGATATGATGGCTCGCCTCAGACCTCCTTTCCTCCATATGAACAGGTGGGGAGTAACTTTCTTCACTGCAAGTGTGCATCATGATGGAAAAATAAAAGCAGTGTGATGCTTTCTGCATGCACACTGATTGCCACGGTGCAACGCTACTAAAGAAGGCCTGGGAACCACACTACCTATACTAGATGGGTGTGTGCCTTGTGACAAGATAATGTCAATGTCTTTGAATGCTGTTATAATATTCATAGGTTCCAGTTGGAAAAGACTCTGACAGACAAGTCAGCTGAAGCCGAAGCACAGGCAAGAGAGATAGCTGACAATAGGAGGAGACTACAACATCTGAACCAGGGAATTGAAGAACTAAGGGTGAGGTTAAAGAAGATATCGTTTCTGCCTACTGATATGGAGATTGTGTTGTTCCAGTCAAAGAAGGCAGAGCTGGAGAAAGAGGTAGAGGTAACAGCCAGGAAGAAAGCTGAACTTCAAGCTGTGACGGAGTTAAAAGCAGTGGAAATGAAAGATCTGAAGAAAAACTTTGAGCAACTTAAGGTTTTTACCTCTCACAGCTATATAGTTAATTAGCAGTATTTTCTATTCAACTCTGCAGTTGGAGAAGAGTGGTATGGAGGAAGCGTGTCAAGGAATGGATGAGGTCGTGAAAATTAAAGAAGAGAACAGCAAAGCAACGAGGCAGTTACTGGAAGCAAAATCCCAACAATTATTACAGCTGGAGTCTGCTCTAGGAGATAAGTATCGAGAGCTAGCTTCAGTCAGAGAAAGATGTACCTCATTACTCACACAAAACCAAAAATTAATGGTGAGCTACAAAATAGGAAAAAATATGAAATTTAAGTTAGTTTGTAATGCAGGTAACAGAGCAAGAACAGAAGAGGCAGTTGTCAGAGCAGAAGTCAGCTCTAGCAGAAAAGACGCAACATCTAGAAGAAAAAGATCATCAGCTATCCTCACTCCAAGGAAAATGCAGCTCACTAGAAACACAAGTGTATGCATCACAGACACAGCTACTAGTGACTCAGAGCGAAAACCAGACTCTGAAGGTAGCTACTAGACGTTGTAGTAAGTATTAACTATACATGTCTTGCAGACACAGGAGAGAGTCAATGCAGATATTTTGTCACTGAAGGAAGCTGAAATTGCTGCTATCACCAAAGAAATGAAGGGGAAAAACAAACTTTTACAATCCAACATGAAGGTAATAATGTTGAAGTCGTTTCGGAGACTCTCATGGATGCTATAATAGGTGGCAGAGCTGTTGCCTGGTGTTTTGAAGTGTAATCTTCCTCTCAAGTGGAAAACCACCACTGAAATGCTGATGGGGCCAATGATTGCACAGGCAGTGGTGATAGGAGAGAAGGTCTACATTGGAGGAGGTAATATGTCTGTGAAGAAGGTGAGAGGGAGTGGGGAGGGAATGGTGGGTGGAAGTACAGACAGAGAGGAGAAAGTGAGAGCACACTGTTCAATACTGGAGTACAGTATGACAGGAGAGGGTCCTCAGTGGAGGACAATAGTAGCTCCAACTGTTTTTTTTGCCATGGCAGCGGTTGATAACCAGCTGATCGTAGCTGGTGGAGCGGATCCAGACACCAAATCTGTATCTGACCAAGTGTCAATCCTGGGTAGTGATGACAACACGATAATATGGGCACAGCCATTTCCTGCAATGCCTACAGCTAGGTATGCACCATCGGCAATAGGCTACAAGAGGTGGCTGGCTGTGGTTCGGGGATCAGTAACACCAGATCATGAAAATCCTCTCGATGTTGTTGAAGAGTTGGACACCAGCTCCAAACAGTGGTACAAGGCATCACCATTACCAAGTCCTACAATTCGACCATCACTTGCCATCATTCAAGACACACTCTACACTTCTTATGTCTCCATTGAAGATAATATCTCATTTACAAAGCAAATCTTCATTCCTACTCTGATATCAAATGCCATATCTTGTGCCCAGGCAACACCAAATAATTTGAGCCCAACTGAATGGCAGGAACTGCCCGACACGCTTACCCCATGTCCAGCTCTTACATCATTCCATGGCCATCTCCTTGCTGTGGGGGCTGGCGGCAGTCCATCATCCACCATAGCTATGTACCTCCCACACATCCAACAGTGGCAGAAAGTTGCAGAGCTCCCAACACCACGTCGTGGCTGTGCATGCTGTTGTCTACCAGCCACCAAACAACTGCTGGTGTTCGGAGGGTGGGATGGAAATCAGGACCCTATCTTTACCATGGACACCTGCGAACTAGACACAGAGCACAACTAACTATACATTTTGGTAACAATAGTTGTTGCAAAATTATTATTTGCTGCAGATATTAATTAATTTTTTTATACGAAAATTGTTTTATTATGTGATTGTACTACAACATTAAAAAAAGAATAGCCATGCTGTAACATATGATGTTATTAGCAAGGAAAGCGAGCCAACCTATCATCTGAATGCGGATTTTATTAATTTATTGTGACAGGCAGTGGACATACGTACGTACGCGAAAAATTGAACTTCTCACGCTTGCTTGCCAAAATGCGTGGCATTCATACTAGTATAATGTCTAGTCTAAAGGAATGTCATCAGATGAGGGGATGTCTTGTTGTGTACTGTCCAGTGGGAGAACTCTTATCACTCCTTGTCTGAGGGGAAAGGGATGGGGATGGAGGACAAAATTACCAGTAAACTTGTGCATGCTACTACTGTTCTACCAACTTTAGTCATATCTGTCTGTATAATGTACGATCGCTCGTTAAAATATTTTGTAGAGGGGGCGGGTCTTGGGGCGTTCCGCGATCTCAACACACACACACCCCCAAGCGCGCGCGTGCGTACTATTTTTTTACACGCGCACGTCAGTTAGCAGTTTCATCAGCTAGCTGAAGATGGCTCAACGCCAGCGAGTTTCCACCGATGACCAGTTTCGCGGAGCGCCTCAACTGCGCCCGTTTCTCCTGCGGGACGTGAGACGGACGGGCAAGACGCTGGGCGGCGGGTCGTACGGAGCCGTTGAGGAACTGGAAATGGCGGGCCTCGTTTGCGCCGGGAAGACGATGTACGACGCTCTAATCGACCCCAGGAACCAAGGGACCCAGAACATGGTAGAAAAGTACTACAAAGAATGCAGTTTGCTCTCGGAACTTCGTCATCCGCACATCGTCCAGTTCCTGGGTATCTGCTTCTTCCCCGAGTCCCGACTCCCCGTTCTGGTGATGGAGCGACTCCACACGAGCCTCGACGACATGCTGGAGCAATATCCCGACATCCCTCTTCACGTCAAGCTGTCGATTCTCCACGACGTGACGAAGGGGCTAGTTTTTCTGCACACTCGGAATCCGGTTATCGTTCACCGCGACTTGACGGCCCGCAACGTTCTCCTTGACGCAGCCATGACGGCAAAAATCGCCGACCTTGGTAATTCCAGGATTACCCATCTCCGACCGGGGCAGCTAGCCGGGACCATGACGAGGGGGATACCGGGCACACTGGTCTACATGCCTCCCGAGGCCTCCACCGAGCATTACGGTCCTCCACTGGACATGTTCTCATTTGGTCACCTCTGCCTCTTTACCGCCACTCAGGTTGGTGAACTTCCGTTTTTTTAGGGTGTGTGACTTTACAAGAGAATAAAATTTTTAGGGCGTGTGATTTTACAAGAATTCATAAGAATAACAAACACTTAACTCCTTGCATGAATATAGCTAGCTATAACATCATATATAGCTCCACTACATACTTAGCACAATACTGCTAGTAAAGGAAGGGTGTTTTTGCTGTTATAAAGGTATTTCCAGGAGATCTACTCCCTTCAACTTACACCGACCCTCGTAAGAACAAGGTGAAGGCTCGCACAGAGCTGGAACGGAGAGAGAGTTACATGTCACCACTGGAGGCTACTCTGGGGAAGACACATGGTCTGGTGTCCCTCGTCAAGGGATGTCTGGAGAATGATCCAAGAAGACGACCGACTGCTAGTCAGGCACTGGACAGAATGAGAGATATGATGGCTTCTTTAAGTCCCCCCTTTCTCCATATGAACAGGTGAGGAGAAGCTTTCTTCGCGCTACATGTGTGCTATACCACATCATTTTTTGGAGAAGTTAGAGCAGTGTGAAGATGTGATACTACGATGCAATGTTACTAAAGAAGGCCTGGGAACCACACTAGTATACTAGATGGGTGTGATCGTATCAAATCAACATTATTCATCTCCATGTCTTATTCTCAGGTTCCAGTTGGAAAAGAGTCTGACAGACAAGTCAGCTGAAGCCCAGGCACAGGCAAGAGAGATAGCTGACAATAGGAGGAGACTACAACATCTGAACCAGGCTAATGAAGAACTAAGGGTGAGGTTAAAAAGGATTGTTTCTGCCTACTCATGGAGATTATGTGTTGTTACAGTCAAAGAAGGCAGAGCTGGAGACAGCGGCAGAGGTAACAGCCAGGGAGAAAGCTGAACTTCAAGCAGTGACGGAGTTACAAGCAGTGGAAATTGAAGACCTAAGTAAACAGTCGGGAAAACCAAAGGTATGTGTGTTTTGAGTCGTATCTGTTCCTGCTCTATTTTTTCGAGCCGTTCATTTTTTCGTACACATTACGTTATGTGCAGTTTGCCGTCAATTATAAGTATACCAACATTCAGATGACTAGGTATAGGCTCACTTCATTGTTCTTTTCTACTTATCTCATTGGTCAGGCCTCAAAGTTTCCAGATATTTTGAAGTGTCAACTTCCTCTCAAGTGGAAAACCACCACTGAAATGCCGATGGGAGCAATGGTTGCACAGGCAGTGGTGATAGGAGAGAAGGTCTACATTGGAGGAGGTATGATGGCTGTGAAGAAGGTGAGAGGGAGTGGGGAGAGAGTGGTGGGTGGAAGTACAGACCGAGAGGAGAAAAAGAGAGCACAATTATCAATACTGGAGTGCAGTATGACAGGAGAAGGTCCTCAGTGGAGGACAATAGTAGCTCCAACTGGTGGGTTTGCCATGGCAGCAGTTGATAACCAGCTGATCATAGCTGGTGGAGTGGTTCCAGGCGCTAATGTATCTGACCACGTGTCAGTGCTGGATAGTGACAACAAGACATGGACACAGCCATTTCCTGCAATGCCTACAGTTAGGTTTATGCCATCGGCAATAGGCTACAAGAGGTGGCTGGTTGTGGTTGGGGGATCAGTAACACCAGATGATAAAAATCTTATCAATGTTGTGGAAGTGTTGGACACCAGCTCCAAACAGTGGTACACAGCGTCACCACTACCAAGACCTACACTTCGACCATCACTTGCCATCATTCAAGACACACTCTACACTTCGTATGTCTCTGCTGAAGAGATCCCATTTACAAAGCAAATCTTCATTCCTACTCTGATATCAAATGCCATATCTTGTGCCCAGGCGTCACCAAATAATTTGACCCAAACTGAATGGCAGGAACTGCCCGACACGCTTACCCCATTTCCAGCTCTTACATCATTCCATGGCCATCTCCTTGCTGTGGGGGCTGACGACAGTCCATCATCCACCATAGCCATGTACCTCCCACACATCCAACAGTGGCAGAAAGTGGCAGAGCTCCCAACACCACGTGGTGGCTGTGCATGCTGTTTTCTACCAGCCACCAAACAACTACTGGTGTTTGGAGGGGAGGATGAAAATCAGGACCATATCTTTACCATGGACATCTGTGAACTAGACACAGAGCACAACTAACTATACATTTTGGTAACAATAGTTGTTGCATAATTAATATTTGCTGCATTAATTAATTTTTTTGGTGACAGGCAGTGGATATACGTTCTATACGTGATTCTAAAATAATGGTGCGAAAGAATGAACTACTCACGCTTGCTTGCGAAAATGAAATTCGTTGTATATAATAATTTAGTCTAGAGGAATGTCATCAGAGGAGAGAATGTCTTGTTGTGTACTGTCCAGTGGAAGAACTCTTATCACTCCTTGTCTGAGGGGAAAGGATGGGATGGAGGACAAAATTACCAGTAAACTTGTGCTTATAGCCAAGCAAATCCACAAAACAAAAAATTGGCAACGAAAAAAAAATTGGCGAATTACACTTGAGAGCAACTTTCAAAAACAAATTCTGTCAGCGAGCGAGTGTGGCAATCAAAATATTCACAAAATTTGTGACTATATATAATTATCTATACTCCACAAAATTAATATTGCAAAACTCTAGACTTACTCATTCAATCGTCTCATCATTTCCACTAGTTTAGCTGCCTCTATCTCCTTCTCCTCTTCCGTCATGGCCTCTCTCTCTCCCTCTCTCTCCCCTCTCTCCACAGTTGGTCCTCCCGTCACTGGATCTATACTGTGTGGTATAGGGATGATGTCATCATTACATCATTCAGATAATCACCACGACGAACAACATCTTTTATTCGAGGACTAGCTAAGCACGTAGTAAACATAATTTGAACGAAAGATTGATGGATCACATGATCATTGATGACGTCATCAGTGGATCACATGACCTTGGATTACATCATACCTTGGTTTGCTGTGAACATAGTCTTCAGTATCAGATTCACTGTCACTGGAGTAGTCTGCAGCTGTCTCTGATTTACCACCTCCTGCGAGAAAGACACTTAATACTATAGAAAGAATAATCCTTTATCTGTGGAAAGCCGCACCGTGTAACCATGAAATTGATGCTGGTTACCTAGGAAACTGTAGTTAAGTGAGTCGTTACCTAGGAGACCGTGGGTAAGCAGTAGTCCGGCTGCGTTGCCGTAACCGGTGTATTTGATGAGCCGGGCGGAGTCCTCCTTACAGAGTACAAAGAGGAACTCAGCTGCCATGCCCTCACAGCCCTGGCAACCCCCAGCTGCCGTCATCAGTCTTACTAGTCTGTATGAGAGAGAGAGAGAGAGAGTGAGAGAGAGAGAGAGAGTGAGAGAGAGAGAGAGAGTGAGCGAGAGAGAGAGAGAGAGATTCAGAATTCGTCCAAAACTGAACTCATCAGTATTTCAGCAATTTAAAGAGAGGGAGGGGTTAAAGTACAATACTGACCTTCCCTTTAGAGAATCCTCTTGTTCGGGTCTCCGAGTTACTTCCCTCAGAGGAGGCAGAATCTGCAGCGGAATCACATGCGTTAACTTGGTGTTGATTGGTGTCACGTTGCGTCAACTTCGCATTAACTGGTATCAACGCACATCAACTGAATCATGACAGATTGAGGATGCATGAAAAAATAATGCATTCATCAATCACACGTGTGTTACATTAATCATGTATTATTTGCATTAACTACTGTCAACTAAATCATGTCAAGTTGAATCAGTTTCGAGTTAAGTGGTGTCAGTTTGTGCTAACCTTGGTCTTGAGAATCTCCTGATATCGCGACTTCCTTTACTAATGTTCCTCAGTACATTGAGTATGGTAGAGAGGGAGGGAGAGGGAGAGTCCTGGACATGGTCACATGACATCATGTGATCCCACACACGAGTTCGAATGACATCATCAGTTAGTAATACAGGTTTTTAGAGTGAACATTTCAAGAATAATTTTACTAAATTTTGAGGTCTGGAGCAACAAATTACAACAATAATATGCTCATTTTCTTATGTATGTATATAGGTAAGTCACATGACAGATCATGTGACCCCAACTCACCAGTGTATGGATCAGTAGCCTAAGGTCACATGACAGATCATGTGACCCCAACTCACCAGTGTATGGATCAGTAGCCTAAGATCACATGACAGATCATGTGACCCCAACTCACCAGTGTATGGATATCAGTAGCCTAAGGTCACATGACACATCATGTGACCCCAACTCACCAGTGTATGGATCAGTAGCCTAAGATCACATGACAGATCATGTGATCCCAACTCACCAGTGTATGGATCAGTAGTTTCAGAAGACAGACCACAGCAGTCATGTTGCGTTCCCCCCACATCTCATCGTCATACTCAACACTCCATTTCTCTGCCGCACCACTGTCGCTGTCAGCTGCCGGTGAGGCTCCTTCTGAGGGAGTTTGAAGTGACATTGTAACCCCTCTCTCAGAATACCTCTCTTAATGAGGACACCTTTCTGATAAGGACACCTTTTCTTTCCCAAGAACAGTTCTTGCATGCAATTCAACCCCTGAAATGAGGACACCTCTCTAATGAAGGACACCTTTCTTTCCCCAAAGAACAGTTCTTGCATGCAATTCTAACCCCTGAAATAAGGACACTCACTAATTTGAAACTTTTCTTCCCAAGAACAGTTTTTGCATAAAATTAACCCGAAATGAGGAAACACTATAGACCCTTCTTTCCCAAAAACAGTTCTTGCGATTAACAACCCCTGCATGGACACTTTCTTCTGTCCCATTGGTGTCCTGATTAGAGGAGTTCCACTGTACATTTCAAACCTGAGACTCTGGAATTGGGCTCCGGGAACAGGTCTGGATAGCGAGATTTGAGGGTGGGCATTATTTGGACCTTTCGAGGCAGCAGAAGTTTTCCTGAGCATTCGAATGGAGTGTTGACCAGAACTTCAGTGCTGTGACTAGAGAGAGAAGAGAGAGAGGAGTGAAGAGAAGAAACGAGCGATGAAGAAACAAATAGAGGAGTCGATTATCATAAAAACCCTTGAGTAAAACAATTTTACGGAAAAGTCTTTTACAAATGGTTCTTAACTCGCCGACAATGCACTTGCATTTCCAAAAACAAAGCTTTCCGGAAAACATATGAGAAATGAACAGCTATAAGAAAGAGAAGGAGAAAAAGGGACTATTTCATCATGACATACATGACAGTGTCCGCATGTGCGTTTTCCGTGAGCTGGATGGAACGGAGACAGATCTGACCGAACCAGCAGGACAACGATCCTCGTCAGTAGAATTACCTCGTCCTGAATTATGCAACATTACATCATCACCAACATCTTCAGACAAACGCTCAAATTTATCGCTACTAGACCAGACAAACGCTCAAATTTATCGCTACTAGACCAGACAAACACTCAACTTTTTTATCGCTACTAGACCAGACAAACACTCAAATTTATCGCTACTAGACCAGACAAACACTCAAATTTATCGCTACTAGACCAGACAAACACTCAAATTTATTGCTACTAGACCAGACCAACGCTCAAATTTATCGCTACTAGACCAGACAAACACTCAAATTTATCGCTACTAGACCAGACAAACACTCAAATTTATCGCTACTAGACCAGGCAAACACTCAAATTTATCGCTACTAGACCAGACAAACACTCAAATTTATCGCTACTAGACCAGACAAACACTCAAATTTATCGCTACTAGAACACGACAACACGCTCAAGTTTTCGCTACTTAGACCAGCGCAAACCTCAAATTTATCGGCATCACTAGACTTAGACCAATAGCAAACCTCAATTTATCGCTACTGGCAGACCAGGACACACGCTCAATTTATCGCTACTAGACCACCAAAACGCTCACATTTATTGCTACTCTAGACCAGGCAACACTCAATTTATCTCTACTAGACCAGCACCACTCTCAAATTTTATCGTCTACTGACGCAGATCACACACTCAAATTTATCGCTACTAGACCAGACAAACACTCAAATTTATCGCTACTAGACCAGACAAACACTCAAATTTATCGCTAAGGGTAATCTCCACCAACTCAAGGTTAATGCACATTGCACATGCAAGGTTTAATCAGCTATATTTTTCCGTGAAAAAAAGAGCTGCCCTGGGTGTAGTTGACTTGCTTGCATTACCTCTACCTCATATTCCTGTTGACACATGCACCTTGCTAATCACGACCGGTACCACATGTCGCCCTAAACACCCGGTCACCGGTGTCCTAATCGCGCTCCTCCTCACATGAAAAGAAAACGACTAGAGGTCGTCTGGGGAAATGTAAACATTGGCCTCAGGTGGTGCCAAATCAGGTAATTACCTACTACATACGAAGTCCAGCCAAATTACAAGATAATGTACTGACTGTCTGGGTTGAGCGAGCGTAATTAGTAGTTTCCATATTATCACGTATGTGTAGGATTAGGACGTCCTAATTGGTTTTCAGGACATCCCAATTAGCCGTCTAAATTGATTTAAGGACGTCCTAATTAGCCATTTGAATCGATATAAGGACGTCCTAATTAGGCGTCTAAATAATGATTTAAGGACGTCCTAATTAGCCATCTAAATTGATTTCAGGACGTCCTAATTGGATTTCAGGGCGTCCTAAACCGAATCTTGTACCTCTGTAAATGTTCCTTCTTCTCTCCAGTGAGCAGTTTGATTAAATACCACTTTCACACTCGCCTCGGAAACCCAGCCCAGTCTCTCTTCAGTTAGGGGTCGTGGTAAAATTGACACGGACCCCCTCTCGGGGGGCAGGAAAAGGGGAATTTCCTCCGAACCCCTCAATTCCCCAGTCTCTAACGACCCGTGAGAACACCCACTCCCTGCAGTTTCTCCGACTGTTTCGGTCTCCGTGACTACGGGATCCGATGCTTCTGTTGCCGTGGAAACGACCTCCCCGTCGCTCGACAATGTCGGAAGTTGCGTTTGCATCTCGACCTAAAGAATCCAATCAAGAGATTAACGAGAAGATAAAGTCCATTGTGCTCATCTCGAAACAGGGCTCTAAAGAAAAATGTATAAAAATGAAATTATCATGAATCAAGCTTTGCTGAGTAAAATGTGAAAATTAATCTATTGAGTGAGGATCAGGTAAATTAGTTTTAAAACTATCAAGAGTCTGATTCTGTAATTAGACACACATATTAGGTCTAATACAAAAGTGTCACTGGTATGATTACGCAATATGTCGTAATATCATTTTGTATGTTGCATACCTTTCTGCTATGCCACATGCCGTTATGAGGAAGAGGAGACGGAGGTCAAAGGTCAGAACATCCGACGGTAGGTCCACATTCCGTATCAGACCAAGTCTGAGACCGAGACCATGTAGGACGCCCAGAGCAGTGGTGGGCGTGGTCAGATGATGATTAGTTAGGATAATGTTGCACAGGCATTTGACTGCTTCGACTATCACTGATGATGGGGGAGTGGGGAGAGAGAGACGGAGAGAGAGAGAGAGCGAGAGATAAAAAAGAGGGTGGGAGGAGAAAAAGAAAAGTACAGTGGCGGAAAGAGAGAGAGAGAGAGAGAGAGAGAGATGGAGGGGGGAAATTGGAATGTAGAATGCCACATGGTACATTAACTGATCCATTACCTCGAATCACTATGAATCTAGTTAACGTGAGATCAAAGACAAATCTAACACACATAGAGGAGATTGTCGAGATTTTTTGAGATTGCGCAACTCTTCCAGACCACAAGCTGTAGACATTCCGTCTGGACGCTAAATTATGCACCGGAGAAAAAATTTGGACCTGTCTCTCTTGCGCGTCTTTTGAGAGAATTTTGTGCTGTTTGGTATCACTCACCTTTGACCCTGTCCTCCGGAGGGGGCGTGTCGCCATGGAAACAGCTCTGTTTGATGTTACGTGACAGGTCGGCGAGATTTACCAGCACTCCGAGTCCTTCTTCAGATCTACGAAACAGTCCATTGTGCACATTTAGATGACTATGCCAGTGAAATGTTTGTGCATTTCTAGCTCCAATTGCGCACCTTAGTTTCTGAACTCCGTCGTTTTCCCTTGCAGCTATTCTCAGTGATGTGAGCGCTGCTGCCTGTGTCCTTGGCAACCATCTCCGTGACGACAACTGCTCCAATAGAGTACTGCAAAACGTCTAGACCCACAACAAGAAATTGCAAGAAAACTTACTGTTACTGGCAATTGGGTATTTTGTGCATCAATACCTCCCTGGTTGACAAGTCTTCTTCCAGGTTGAAGTTGAGTTTTGTTCTGGAGGGAGAGATCACATGTGATCACTGCATGTTTGATCAGGTGACTGTCAGGTGATACACAGAGCTAGCCAGGAGCCTAATAAGGTCAGGTGGGCAGCTAATGTACAGTTTGCAGAGCAGGGCACACAAATTGGCCACAAAAATGTGATAATGGTAATTCCTTAATCAGATTAGGGACAGCTGCACAATGCAGCCACCTAATTAGGAAATAGAATTACTGCACTATAATATACTCCCTATATAATACTGTAGATTCTTCTCTATTCACCCATCCCAGTACAAAAACCTCAAACACTGACACCTTCTGTAATGAGATTTGTTGGGTGTGGTATACCGGATATACCTGTTCATTGAAAGAGACGAGAGACGAAAGAATTCCATCTTCATTCCCTCCTTTCACGTTCTCCAAAACCAGTTCCATGTCGCGCGCACACACACACACACACACACACACACACACACTAACTATCCTGTTTCAGGATCGGACGGCCCGGAATCAAACCTGGGACGGGGGAGGGGGAGAGAGAAGAATAGCACCAAGTTGAACCACAGGGTGCACATTGTAATTTTAGATGCCCTCTCATTCATGTGCTGCTAATGTCCCATTCATGCGTCCCCCATTCAGAGCCCCTCTCCTTTTACAATCACTCAATCCCCGTCTGTTTGGACTCACTGGACATGAACATCAATCCAAACTATCGTAACAATGCTCCCAATTCACCATTACTAAAAACCACACCAGAGGTCGTAACATCGCTGCTAGACGTGTTTCGATGTTGTTTTTTTTGCGTCATTGAAAGCATTATGCGCCACCACCACCACCGCGCATCGAACAGGCCGATGTTGTTATTTTGCAACGACACTTTCATTCAGCGGTGCACCCGGACAACTATTTTACCCACATGTCATACTATGGCTAATATCTAACGGTGTATATATTACTTTCAAACACACAGTGCAATAATAACAAACCTGATGCAGTGCCAATGGGGCCTGGTGAGAAAACCACTTTTATCTTGTGTGAATGAGCAAAGATTGCGCCAACAGTAGGATAAAAGTCCACAAATAAATAATAAAAGAATAAACAAGGGGCGGTTTCGATAACTTCTTTCATCTCGAGTGCACACTGCCGGCTAGCAAAGGGCGTGGTAGGGCGGAGAATGAAAACAATGTTGATTTGGCTAGTGAAAAATGCTCGGAATTTAGAATTGGCGCGTCCGCCGGGTCTTTGAAGCCCGTGTGAACGAGGCGGGTAGTTGACACGCAACACACACACACAAACACACGGCAAAAAGAAAGCAATTACGGCCAGTGTAAGTATATACGCTCACCCGGCGATTTCTTTTTGCTCGGCTGGAACGTTTTCAATATTACTCACGGACGTGCTTCGCTGAATTGGATCAATTTACGGTTAATTAATCGGCCGGAATGCATGCGCTCGTGATTCGCCCTCCGCGCTAATGAAAAACGCGCGCCACGCTGTCTATCTTCTCAGCACTCTTCCCCCTACTGCGTTCTAGGACAGTGAGTCGTTGGTGGAGCGGGGAAAACGAAGTCTGCGAACCGTGAACACACTACCAAGGCCGCTTCTCTGTCCCGATCGCTTCATATCGTCCGTGGCGCCCCCGCACGCTCTGAAGGTCTCTCGGCGCGGCGTGTGATGTTAGATTAGAATTCCTGGCGGTCCGAAGTCGCGTCCGAAAGTCGTTTCCCCTCTTCCTACATCGGACCATCCCAAACTTGTTCGCCAAAGCCGGACAACAGAGAAAAACGGTCGACTCTCCGGCCGGTTGTCGTAAGTGTTAATGAACGACGCCCTTTGAGGGGCTTCTGGACTCGGCGATTTACGAGTTGTTTGTGTGTGGTTGAAGATCGGACGTCTCTGTGTCTCTGGTGTGTTGTAGAGGACCAACGTACGTCCAGAGGAACCTCCCCCGCCTGTTGTGAGGACTATGGGGCGGATTCTGGTTTGGACGAGATGGGAAAACCGGGCGATGTTAGCCGTAGCGTTGCTACTCCCGTTGCTCGGAGGTGAGGCTGCGTGTGTCCGTATCCATGTTTACCGTGTGCGTATGATTGTGGGCCTAGTTGTTAGGGGCTATTTTGGAAGGGTGTACGCCTGTTGTGACACAATCGGGTAGCCAAGGGAGCGAGTGTGAGACGGTGGAATAGCAGGCTAATCAAATTGCCCGGACTGCGCCATGAACATGGGTAAACAGCGTGATTGGCAATAGAGGCACATTCCACACTGTTCCGTTCACACTCACTGTACTAAATTTCCACCAAACCCCTATCCAAGATAGAATTTTGTGGTAATAAAGCGCATAAAAGTAGTAGCTTTAGAGTTGTGCACCCAGTTTCTGGTGTTGTTGACCACGCCCCCTGGAAACCACACACCCTTGCTGAGTGAATCCATACACCAATGGGACAGAAGAAAAGTGTCCGTATTAGTGAGGTGTTCTGCATTTCAGGGGTTGAAATTATGTGAATAGAGATGTGTCCTCATTTTGGAGGTTGAGTGGTTCCAAACTCTGTCACCTTATACCACTGGGACCTGCCCCGGTGACTGCCATTTTGGTCGTGTGTGTGTGTGTCTGTGTATGTCTCCCTTCGCTTCTCTTTTGGAGATTTCGCACATGAAAGCATAGCTGAGTGGACGGCTAATTCGTTCACTGAATCCTGGAATCCACGTTGAGATGGGGGGGAGGGGGCACTCGCTTTGTCACTGATGTGTGTAAAATAGTGCCGTGGACATAGTAATGAATAATAGCTGACTGGGAACGAAAAGTTTGGATGATACAACTCTTGTCACGGCAAGGAAGGTTTTGAGAAGGAACTTGTTTTTTCCGTATAAGAGAGAAGCTTTTGTCTGGTGTAGTGTATAGTGTAATAGAGAGCAGTAGTGGACCTGTTATAATGGGACTAAACTACTGGGTGGTGGAGTATGTGGTCCTTATAGGATCTAGGGGGAAGAGAGAATAAGGGGGGGAGAGAGAGAAGAGAGAGAGGAAGAGGAGGAGAGAGAGAGGAGGGAGGAGAGAGAGAGATGGAGGAGAGAAGGGAGGGGAGAGAGAGGAGAGAGAGGAGAGTAGCGAGAGGAGACTGTGGGAGAGAGAGAGAGGACGAGGGATGGCGAGAGGGAGAGAGAGAGGGAGGAGAGAGAGAGAGAGAGAGAGAGAGGGAGAGAGATGTGGGAGAACCATGTCTTTAATTAGCCTAACCAAATCATCTAATCTACCCTAAAGCTACATTCCAGGGTACAGCCTTAATTGCCGTGTAAACAACTACTATACTCTGGCCTTATGTACATGTGGCATGTACCTATTGTATGTTTCATGTACTTATTGTAAAGCATGTAGATTTAATCTAGTTTCCCTGGTACAAATTACTGGTTACACCCTTGTTCTGGAGCTAATTGGGATTTATTAGCTGCCCACTCTTGCTAGTGTAGCTGTCCCCATTTGTAATTTGGGTGCGCAATACTTTCTCCCCAGATCAAAGCGTCCTGATATAGGATAGGTTGGCAAGAGTTAATTAATTCACATGCGTACTTACGAGAATACCTCAGATTTTTGATTGAAGTGTCCTTTATTAAAAATTAATGTTCACATTCCAGAGCAGCCAATGACAGCAAATTTGTGGGTAGAGGCACTAATATTTTTATGGTGAAAAGCCCAAAAAATTTATTTTCCACAAATTTACCATGTGAAAGTTTCAGGTCCAGGTCAAAGGTCAAACCCTGTTCATCCATGAATTTCAGAACTTTGTTATCACATAGTTGTCTATGTATATACATATCTACTATCTTTCTCCCCTCTTTATCTGCCCAGCCACTACTCCCTAATTAGGAAGGAGGCCTAATTCAATTAGTGGGTAATGGTCTCATTGTTCGTGGTGTGAGGGGGTGTCCTACCATTCTTGGTGCTTTGGGGGCAGAGAATCCTAAATTCAGCAGTGAAAGGGTTAAAATAGTGGGGGAGTGTTCTAATAGGGTTAAAATAGTGGGGAGCGCGCCTAATTACGGGGTTCGTTTGATAACTGGTATGCATGCTTTGTACTATATTGTAGCAATACCAGTCGATTCTAATTAGAGCCCACCTAACCCTACCAGTTATAAAGTAATGGTGACACGTTGACTGTAGACTAATCTGTCTACTTTTGAACTGCGTTGGGAGTCGATACTAATTAGGACGCACATATTTTTGGCTTCGTTGCCATTTTCCTGTGGAAACGGGCAAACGATCGTTTCAACTTCAAATGGTTCCGATTGAACTTGTTTACGAGAAAACATGCTAGTCCAATTAATTGGGGACTAATAATCAATTCGGCTTCAAATGGCGCCGCGAATATTCCTTTTCGCGAGAATGCAATTAAGTGAACTAATTTCATCTTCAAACGGCCCGGGATCAAAGATTCAGCGAAGACATGCACTGGGTGCAAGCGCGTGGGTTGACCTCAAATGGTGGCAAATCAAACCTCTGCGAAAATATGTCCACACTAGAACAAACAATCGATCGTTTCATCTTTAAACGGCGACAAAATATATGTTTTGAGGTGAGGTATACACATGTCGGAGCAATTAAGTGGGTGTGGTTTGGACGGCGCAATAGGGGCACTGAATGTGCCCCGTGGTTGGCAGGCGGCGCTGGAGATGAAAGAAGACCTGTGAACACAGAGACTGGAGGCTGTTCCAAGTCCGGTTATATGGGGCGGGTGACGGACGCAAATGGCAAAGGTGTATACTATCTGAGGGTTTGTGAAACTGGCTGATTGCTGTTTGCGTGCGCGTGTGATGGTAGAGTGAGGTAGTGGATGTCTGTTGTCTAAAAACATGTAATTGGCATACAGACCTTCGGGCCTGCAGAGTGGGGCACGAAAGGCTGTGTTATATAATGTGTGTGTGTGCGCGTGTGATACAGCATCATAATATGGTGGGGAGTGTTCCAACCCCACCACCCCGCCTCACTAAAAGTTGAGACTTTGATCTCGCGATTTAACACGTTCTGTGTGCGCCCGTAGGGCAATTTGAACCGACCAATGAGATTGCGTAAAACGTGGAATCTAAATTGGATACATTTCCAGTCGAAAGCATCACGCACACACACACCACACACACATCGTGTACTGTAACTTGTGTCCCGCACTCTGCTCCAACCTTTTGCCGCAGCGACATTCTGCGGGACTGGCTGCACAGTGTGCAGGTTTAGTGTAGTGCGTGCAGCATTTGATGTCGAAATGCTCAAAACACGTGCTAGTGTTGACGTCTGTGCGTGTGTGTGTGTGCATAATATGTGGAATGTTAGACAAAAATAAACTGAACTTTACTATTTTGTCTATTTTGTCTGTTTCAAAGCCGCGCGCAAAAAATGAATTTTCTGGCAAATGTATTTTTAAACCAAGTATTGACGGAAGTATGTGTCCGCTGTTTTGTGGGTGTTTATTGCGTTACCACGGTTTGTGTTTGCGTTACCATGGTTTTTGTTTGGTCCCAATTATTGGGGGGTCGTGAAGAAATTGAGTGTGGTAAGCAGGCGTATTGTTTATATCAAAAGGCTTCTATTTAACTAGTAGGGCATACCTTTTGAGTCAGCTGTGCTGAGTTGCAGAGCAAGGCAGAGCACTCTGTGTTCTAGAGAGGGCTCTAACAACTGAGCTACTGAGGCAGCTCAGCTGGCTGGACTGAACGCTCATACAGAGCAAGCAGAGCAAACTCTGTGTCTAGAGAGGGCTCTAACAACTGAGCTACTGAGGCAGCTCAGCTGGCTGGCTGCGAATCACTCATACAGAGCAAGGCAGAGCACTCTGTGTTCTGAGAGGGCTCTACCAAACTGAGCTACTGAGGCAGCTCGGCTGCTGGGCTGAATCAGCACAGTAAACCTTTTTTTGTTTCTACAGGGCAAAGCCAAGGCAGAGCAGCTCTAGTGCTCTAGAGACGGCAGAGGCTCCATCACTCGGTGACAGAACCAAATGAGCTACTGAGGCAGCTCAGCTGGCTGGGCCATCTTTCTTTTACTCCTCTCCAGTATAGTGGTTTCTTTGCTGCGCCTGTCGGAGCGAGGCAACGGAGAGGGGATAAAAAGCCAGCTGAGATGCGGGCAAGATAGCTCACGTTGGTAGAGCCAGCTCGAGAGGCCAAACAGAGTGCTCTGCCTTGCTCTGGATGAGTGATTCAGCCACGAGCGCAGTGAAGGCTAAG